ATATAATCAGCACATCTTCCATTATTTCCACAATTCATTAAATGACAGGTTCAGATACGTAATAGTTTAATGTAATAATAATTATTACAGCACTGTAAGTTATTGAAGGAATAGACTTTTTCCTCTTTCGATAACCATTGTTTAACTAATAGCTGAAAAAATAGAACTTGGACAAGTGACAAATCAATCAATATATAAGCTATACCATTTACAAAATTAGCGGTCTAAAAACATTATACAAAATTTTCTATAGTATAAATGTCAAGGTTGGAGATCATTTTCGGTGGTAAAGGGTAATGAAAGAGAAGCGGAGAACTATTCAATGCCAGAAGCAATGGGACTTCTTTGGTGTACTTCATTCATATCCGAGAATAGTCTTGAGATTGATTACTGTCATCTATGGCGCAATGTAAGTTCCCACATTTATCTTTTTGGATTGAAGCGTTTTACAATTTGCTGAAGGAAATGAAGATGTTGGAGACAGCTCAACTACGATAGTGGAGGGAGAGGTCTCAGATTCTTCTGTGTCACCAAATGTCATACAAAAAATTTCAGTCATAACGAATCATTTTATTTTGAGTGATCTAACCTATTTGATTCCGTCACCACGAAAGTAATGATTGCTTACAGAGGTATTAAATTTTTTCAGAACAAGCCAAAATGTGACGAGATTGTTACAAAATTAATGATTGCAACATTAATCCTGGAGATTGGCTCACTAATTTGGGTGGCTATAACTTTCTGCGCTTGCTGTTGCCGTGAATTTTGGATTTTCCTTCTACCGTTAGCAGCTTTTCTAGCCACAATAACATTAGCTATTGCAATATTTATATACACTCGAAATAATAAAACTGCTTTTGGTTAGTAGCTTCATTTGAAATTTGAGTTAAATTTCCATAAAAGATGATTGTAGTTTATCATTTTTCAATTCTTTCCTTTCCAGCAATATCATAGATAAAGGTAATCATAGTTTATTTTCATAATAAAATTTACAATCTATTGGTAAAATTTTCAGACATATTGAACGAAAACAAAGAAGCTGCATCAGAAACTTATCATGTCAATTTCTTTTACAGCTATTATATAGCCTGGGCTGCTTTGTCCTCGGCCATTATTTGCATTCTGGTCGGTGCTCTTGTCAAGAAACTTGCTCATGTCTGTTGCTAACTGATATCCCGTCAATATATTATAAATCTCTCCTTTTCATATATCCAACAAAATTAACATTTCTATAGTTTTCGATAAGCTATGAAGCGTAATTACTTCATAGAATATGATATATTAAAACTAAGTACGGTAAACCTTTCATTTACCATGAGAAAATTCAATATATATTTCAAAAAAAGAATTACTGCTAATTTATGTATATTCAATTTTTTAAATTTAACCTTTGCCCAACAGCAATTTTTAGTATGCATCTTACTTAAAACAAAGATATTTCTATATCGTAGTTGCTTTTTTAAAGCTATTCTCCAATTGCTTCTTTCATCTGTATAATTTGCAGAGAGGCAGTTTGTTTTTGTTTTTTTCTTATCTTTTGTTTGTCTTTTCAAAATCTATTTATCTAATAAGTTGGATAGGTTTGCTTTGTTGTAATATGTAATTTATGTTTTAAATTTTCCAATCTTAAAAGTTTTTTTTATTTTCTGCTTAGAATGTATAAGTGTATCATCAAAATGCATATTTGGTATTATCTTACTTTTGTCCTGACGATGCCATCAAAAAAAGACGCATTTTGATGGACCATTAATCTCATTTGTCTTAAAGTATTTTATAAAATAAATTAGAATCACAAAAGAGAAATTGACAAACGATAAGTGATTTAAATTTATTTAAATGATTCTATTTTAAAAGATTGTTTTTAGGATTTTCAAAATTCAATTTCAAAAGAGGAAGAGAAGAATAAATAGAAGTATGTATATACTGAGTAGCCTATAGCAATAGTACGAGATAGTATGGGATAGTACCTGAGCTTAATTGTGGCCTTAATGAATTCCCTTTCATTAGTGATAGTTTCCCGCTGAACCCTACCCACTGATTTAGAACTTGAAATCAATTATTGAAGATTATTGTTTCTTCTTAACACTATTAATAATCATTACTGCTTAGTTATTAATTACCGTTATTATTACTATCATTGATTTGAAAGTGTAAAAATATATCAGTGCGAATTAATCAAATGAATGGCAATGAAGTGAAAGATAATAAAAACGAGACGACTGACGAAAATGGTGGAAATTGACAAAAATAGAAATGGGAAAAAGAGGACAGAAAAGAGAGAGGGAACGGAGATAGGCAGTGATGGAGCAGATGGAATGGAGCAGTCAGAGAGTTTAATAAGAAGTTGAGGTAGAGATTGAGAGTGGGTCGATTTCGTTGATGTGAAGGACGGGAGTACCGGAATAGTTGAAGCTTATTTCGTAGGTTCTTTATCCAACTTGCAGATGAGGGGAAGAAGAGAGTATTTGGACTGACAGTTCATGGAACAAAATGTGTGCATCCTTGAAACGCGAGGCACATTTACCTTCGTTCGAATGCTAACTTCCTGAATCTTTGTTCCAGTCTTATCCCGAGTAAAATACATTCATGTTTGCATTCAGTGCCACATAAAATATGATGCGGGGTTGTTCCTTTGACTCTTTAAAGTTTTACAACTTTTCTGCAGTATTCTCTCGAAAAAGAATTCATGTTTACTTTGAATAGGTATTTAAAATCTGAAACTGGGACAATTATCATATTGAGATATTAGTGATTCAAGGATGTCGCTTGGAAGGGTATCCAGTCCGAGTGGTGCCAGTGAAGCAAGTCAATCTTCATCTTATTCGACCAATCAGCGGGTAATTCAACTTCATTTATTTGTGTTTTAAAAATTGTATGATAATATGATTGAAACTTAAATTCATTGTCTCTCTTAAGGACAAATCGTCAAGATTAGGTAGTAAAGCTAATGCAGTCTAACACAGTATTCGGTGCAGTAGCAAACTTGCTGAATGCAACTAGGATGTAACAGTTAGCAGGAGGTACATAGTATCATCTATGATTCGTGAGTAATTTCAACCTCAAAATTTTTTGTCATTGCTTTTTTACTTGTCTTCTGGCTATAACTGATTGCTATCAACAGAGTATTGATTGTTAGTCAATTATATCGTTTCAGAGAAGTAAGAAATCGATGAAGCTATTAACTTCTCTTCGAAGTCCGCCAAAGATACCCTTCAAGCATTTCTCTACTGTTTATGTTGGTTAAATTTTATAATTTCAAAATATGATTATTCGTAATTCCTTTTTAAACTTTGTTAGTTAACGCTTAGTTCAACAGTAAGAGTTGTTTCTGTGTGTTGACGTGGTTCATGAGTAATTGTTTCTTGTGCATGCGATTGAACATGGAACTGAACAAGATTTTTCATAGATAAATATTTCAACATCATCATTTTTTTTCATTTATCGGCTTTGTTTCGAAAAGAAACAATGTCTGCAGTTCTGAAAATGATCTCCGTCTAATCATTTTTACCTATTCTACAGTGATACTCATCTATAACCGAGAGTAAAACTTTTCTCCTTGAAATACATGATGGAATAATCTTTGTAGAAAACTGCGCTGTTTAGAAGGAAAAAAATCGAGTCCAAATGGCAATTTGATATTTCAGGAAGGGCATAAGAAGACAATATATGGTGTCGCATTTAGTCCGTATCTTATTGCTAGTCCACATTTTGCGACTGTTGGAGAAAATCGAGTGAAGTTTTTTGTTCGCTAAAAAAGTAATTTTGTACAGTAAGAGGAATTGATATCCAAAAATTTCACTTCTAATTCAATAATGGTTCGTTGCAATATAATATATCAGTACTATTATTATTCAAGCTTCATTTTGTATATCAAACCGTCGTGGCTTACATTTTGGAGCTCGAAAAATTTGGTTTTTGGATCAACTTATGAACAAATAGGATTTTTTTAATGTAATTAATATAGATCCTAATTTTTTTTCTCAGTTAATCTCGCAATCGATTGGTTTTTTTATACTTGACTCACCGAATCCTTTATATTTTATATCACTTAACCATTGATTATGACCAAATAAGTCAAGCGTGAAATTATTTTTTATTAATCTTTTTGTTAAAATTATTTTTTATTAATCTTCTGCGAAAGCATTCAACTAAGCCAATTTCAAATATAGGTATCGATATATGCAATCACGAAAGATGGAAACGGTGTAAAGCTGTTGAGAAGTTTTCATGATTCAGCGGTAAGGATAACGTTCTTACCATTTATATTCAGCAGCAACTGTTAGGTATGATGTTATGAGGCTCATGTGTATTTTATTTAAAAAGCTTGGATTTCAAAGTTTTAAATTGATTTTTTTCAGAAAACGGAATGGTTTTTTTCCGTATGTTGGGCATATGATACTGAGAATGACGTACATGTCGTAATCGCCGGTGGAAATCGAGGAATTATACGAGTGATAGATGTCGTGACGGGTGATCTCGTTAATGTTCGTTTGTTAATTTAGCTTTAAAAGTATGTTTCTGTAAATATTTGGAATGTAATGCAAGAAAAAATTACTGTTCTGTGTTTCAAATTATCCTCATATTTCATAATTTGTTGGACAAGATTTAGAGTCATTTCAGAGTTTAATAGGACACGGAGATGCTGTCAATGACGTTCGTGTTTTTCCAAACGATTCCATGATTATTGCTTCAGCCAGCAAAGATTTCACAGCTAGGATATGGAACATTCATAACAGTGCTTGTCTAGCTATTCTAGGAGGAGTCGAAGGCCATTTGGATCAAGTTATATCAGTAGTAAGCGAATAGTGTTCCAGAATATCTCATCTTAGAGCTTTACTTTTTAGTTTGAATCTCCTTTTTAAATGTAAGAATCGCCACTATCTTTTAATTTATATGCTTAATAAAATAAATCTATAATTTCTTATAGAACACAGCACCATGCTTTGTAGGATTTTGATGCTGAGAGTGAATATTTGGCATCTGCAAGCATGGATCATACCATCAAGTTGTGGTATGTAGGAAAGGGGAGTGGTGTTGATCGTCTAGTTGAGCAGTCCAAAGCTGATCTCAGAGTAAATAGTTTCTCATATTTTTTAGCGATACATTCAAGTGCACGATAGTTCCTGATTACACCAAGTCAGTTTTTTTAATGAAATTTTCAGTCACTGAAAATTTCCTTTAAAAAATTTGGTGTAAGCAATAACGGTCATGCAAACGCTTTTTTTAAATGATTAATTTAATTACTTAATGTGCTTATAAATATATTCATGCTATTTATTATTAAAAAATTTTTTTATTGCAGTGTTAACCTGCAAGTGTTTTACCCTAACATCGAATGTAATTTATAAGCTAGTTAAAAATAATACTTTTGAATCGTTAAAAGTCTTTTACAGCTGGTTGATTTCCCAGCCGAAATACATTATCCTCGTTGTAGCACCCGCGATATACATACCAATTATGTTGATTGTGTTCGTATTTTTCACAGGCTTATATTTTCCAAGGTGACCTTTTCATCTTATTTGGAATTACTTTTATTTTCCTTAAGTTGTTATGGATATTTGAAGATTGAATGACACTGTAAGAGAAGACTGACCCAGGCGGGGAGTGATAATGATTGACACATTCTCATACTTTTTCCAATTTACATATTGGAATCGGAATAATTTTCCAAAAATGAACATAAACTAATTCCAGTCAACCGAAAACGAAATCGCTTTATGGAAATTTGGTGACTTTGACGACCTGGTCGCTGGACAAGGTAATAAGGTAAAGACTGAGACATGCGTTATTCATTTTCGTCAAATGGAATTACCCGAAACTAATATGTGGTACATTAAATTCGAAATTGATCCATTGGAAAAGGTATTTATTTAGTTTTTTTCTTTGTTGTCATTTTCTTTTGATTTCATCCAAATTTTGGTAAATTCTGCTTCTCAATAAAATTCTGAATTCAATTTTCGTCTACGTTGTTACTATCGAATATTGTTCGACGAGAAATGTTGTAGTTGGGAGCTTTCAAAGTCTCAGTCCTACTTCAGTATGCAGCGATTTAGAGAGTAGTAGAGTATTCTCTTGTTGTGTACTTGAAATTACAGATTACGTATTAGGTAGAGATGCGATTAAAAAAAGTTCCCTACGAAGAAATGAAGAGCTTCTAAAGAAATAAAAGCTTCAAGCTTTTTCATATCTCTACTAATATGTAATCTGCTATTAAATTTCAGTACCTTGTCTGCGGTAATCAAAAAGGTGAAATTCATGTATGGGAAATTAACAATGGTTCATTGCCATCCATAAAAAGGTTTATATTTGGTTTTTTGCACTATCACTACGGTCAATATTGAGCAAAGCGTGATAACTTCACTTGAAACGTTTTTCTTAGAAGTCAAATATTTCTGGCCTTACAATTTTGATTTTTTACGGAGATTTCGATTTTATAAGTTAATCATTTGAGCAGATCCTTTTTTCTTTTTTTTTTTGATTCGGCAAAATATATTTCCAGCAATCACGTATTGCATCTTAAAGATGTCGGGTGTGCTATAAGGCAGATTGCATTTAGCCCATGCGGTCAGCATATGATTGCCGTGGCTGACGATGCAAGTATATCCAGGTTTGCTAGACGAATGTGAAATTTGCATATGAATTGTATTGTATTTCGCGATGTAATTTCCTCCTTCTCGAATGCTATGAATTAAGCATACTGATAGATACACTGAAGCTTCAAATTTTTTAGCTTTGAAATTTCTCGTGATTTCTACGGATATTTAGCTTGTTTTTCACACATTTTCCATTTCTTGTTATTTCATTTCTTTTCACAGAATATAATGATCTCCCTATTTCCTATTTTATTTATTATTTTTACTTTGATTTTAAACACTAGATTGTTGTTTGCTAAAGTTCTATCTTCAGCTTTGATATTTGTTTTGAACTGTCTTTCTTTTATACCTAATTCCTGTTGCTCTGAAATACAATCTTTTTATTTGTTGGACAGTACTGTCCAGCGGTAACAAAGTGAATATATAGCAAATTTATTCCGATGAACAATTATTATACTGGTTTATATTTTAATGTTCTACCTGCTGGGTTTCAGATGCGACAGTTGTTAGTAATAGTCGATTCAATTTATCGTTCGTAATGTCTTACGTACGTATGTAAGGATAGGCCGTTATTAAATATCTTTTGATGGTTTTTTTAGCATTACGGTGGTTTTCTGTTATCACCATGAGCTAGGACTTTTTAACTGTTCTGGTTCGAATTTAAAAGATCGAGAAAGGCAAGAAGAATATAATTCAACTATATTGATTTAAAAATAGATCGATTTTCTATTAAAACAGAAGTATCAGCTATATCGCGAAAGATAATAGCTCCAATAAATTATGTTAAAAATAGTAAATAAACTCGGAAATAACATTATGGAAATGTGATCTATGCGGTCGGCTGTCCAGCCACTTGTGCAGTTCTGGAACAATAAGTGTGCTTTCCGTAGCCGATTTCTAGAACTATCATCCGAATCCATAGATAATGCTTCTTTCTGATTTGAACGAATTGTGCTAAAACTGATACTTTTTATTCTAACACCGGATGGTTGAAATTCAGTAACTGTTTTTAAATTTGAAATTTACAAGTATTTTAACAAAGGTTTCTGTCCTTTATCCATGTTAATATTATGGGAAAAATCATTCTAATCCATTGAAGCACACATATGACAATTGAAATACGAAGGACTAGCACGATAATAAGAATGCCCTATCACGAATCAGTGGATTTTCTATGAGAGGTCTCGGGAGACAGCTCTTTTCACCTTAAGACTACTATTGGTAATTTCTAAATTTCATCTGCACAGACATGAATATTTCAATCTGACTTAGAACATGAGACTAGGAGGGTACAGAAACAGTTGAGCATCTGTTGTGAACTACCAACCTTGTAGCATCCATTCCGATAATACTTCGAGTTATTATGGGACTCTCAGATGGCACGAGAACTTTTGTCTTCATCCATAAATCGATTGGGCTGATTTAAGAATTCGTTAATAATTTCCATTATTTAATTTGTTGCAAAGAAGTTACTCAAAATTCGGAAAGTTGAATTTCATTTTGAGATGCTTGAATAGAATAAATGGATATAAAATACGTAGCGTGTTTACCTGATACTTCTTGCAGTGATGTTATCAATTTTCTTATGAAATGTGATCGGTGAATATTTCCGACTAGCGTGTACCAAGGATGTCCGACTACGTCTCTTGAGAGGTTTTTTCACAGTAACTGTCTAAATTGGTGACGTAAATCCAATTATCTTAACTGTTTAAATACTAAGGCTTACCTTAAATAGAAAATTTAAAAGATGAATATGTCTGGCCGATATCTATTTGGCAGTATCATCACTACTACCAGCATTACAGACGGTCCTCAACAATATTACCAAATAGCGATCTACTCTACCCGTGATATTCTCTAGTAATTGTCTTATAATGTCCGAAAATAAATTCTCGGTCAACAATAAAATCTTTATCCAACCATATTCGTCTGTGTCAGTCCATCTCCAACATCAACAAGACAACTTCTACGACAGACTACAATACCTGCTTTGAAGAGTTTATCTTCACAATAGACATTAAAACTTTATAGCTATTTTGTCTCTAGATTTCTTGCGATGTAGATATTATCTATTCATAGATATAATTTTGGTCTTGTGCTTCATTAATTCATTGAAATAATGACTTGAAATTCTAAAGTTAAATATTAATTTACTTCACTGCGAGCATTAATTGAACCGATAATAGCTAATTCGAGAAGTGAGCAAAATACGAATGAAAGGCACGACAGCATCCAAACATCTGAAATAATTACAACGTATAATATCTTCTTATAAGTTTTGATGTTTGAATATTTGAAATGATGTTGCGATAAACTAAATAGTTACTAACCAAACGCTTTAACATAACTGACGCGAGGCAAATTTCGCATGATATTACCAAAGTGAAATGTAAGAGCCAGAAGTGAATTGACGCCAAGCATTGTCCGTGCTGGGATCATTTTGGCACTTAGACAAAAACTAATCCAACTGAAATTAATGACCTTTCTAGTGGTAGCCTCTTTTCAGTTCATATAATTTTTGGAAAATAAACAACAGAAATTTTCAGAAATTCTTCGAATGATTTAGGAATGAAAACAAAGAAAACGATCAGATCTTAAAGGACAATCGATGTATAATCCACAAATGATATCTGATAGAAATTTGCAAGCAGTAGAAAGTAATTTCAAAAATAGGACTACACGGATTCCTGTAGCTCAACTCTTCATTTGCCCCAAACATTTATGAGATTCTACTGCAATTATCTTATAAAGTTTCCCCATATTTAATTCTAGATTTTCGAAATTTGTAATTTTAAAAAATTGCTCAGCAGTATTTGTGGATAAAATATTTATTGATGCATTTCATAATAAACTATGGGTCTACCATGTTGAAATCGTTAAAGTAAATACGCTTCTTATATAAATTGATAAGAGTATTTGCTTGATAAATTATGGCCTGATAAATTGATGTGCTATATAACTGTGTGTATAGACTTGATAAATTGGTAACTCACATATTTTACCTGATAAAAATGGTAAGATAGGTTGGAACGTATGCTTGAAATATATACCACCCATAACGTCTAGTAAATGTAAATGTCATTGTTAACTCATTCCAAATACCAGCAGGATATGTCTGTAATACAGCTTTTGTGATGTTTATAAATATAAAAAAGCTGGAAGTTAATTAGTTATTCACATGGAATAACTTCAATTTAAAATTCTCGAGTGTGAAGATAAAAAACCTCGTGATTTGATGTTTTATTTCCGGTACATTTGAAGTTTATTTCAGTTGTCTAAAGTTTATTTGAATTGATATATGTGATGCTAATTGCTTCCTTTAAAGTTTTCTTGCTAGTCTTTCCAGACATCGAAAATAAATCACATTTTTTAAAATGCCATCGATCTTAGAGAAATATTTGTTGCAATATATGACATATTTCTGTGTGGTTTTGTATTTAACGATGGACGAATAGATATGCCTAATAACATTGGAGAGCTTCAGTTACAGTTTTACATATATAATAAGTTACTTTGGCTAGAACAACTCTAAAGCTGAAATTTCATGAAACGGCGCATCTGACTGTTGTAATTGGAGCTTTTAAATGTTAGTAAACATATCTGTTCCTTCATTGCAAAGTAAAAAAAACCAGGCAAAATTAGTTGACATTTCAGCAAATGTCTCTCTGATAGTATTAGCTCACAATATGATCAAAACTGATCGCACGAATGCAGACGGTCCAAGTGAATGAAATAATTTTACAATGAAGTTCAAAATTAAGCAATTGAAATTACTGACCACAAGTTCAATAGATGTGTTATAACTGCTAAGTACAAAATCGGGCAGAATTATTTGATCTTTCAGCAATATTAATGGTTCTTTAGTACTGATCCATCTCATGTCAACTTCCTGAATGAACTATTCATTGAACTGATGCTTCAGTGATTCAAAATTGCTGATTATTGAAAATATTCACATCAAATGTGTTATTAGTCTGCGCGATTGGCAGAATTGGGTTTTCTGATCTGATCATTTATCAGCAAATTGTGATCCAATTGTGATTCATTTAGTATTACGACAATGTTTTCTTTACGTTATTTGAACCTCAACTTTTGAGCTAAGCTCAATTTCATCTGTCCACGTGTTTTATCCAACAATTCACACACATCAGTCATCATTTTCCTTTCTAAGCAATCAATTTCGGTTTTAAATTCAATTAAATATCAAACTTTTGATTCTCCTAGATCAAAATAAAAGCAGAAAAAACGAAGTGGCAGTAGCCATCCATTGCGGCATCTAGGAAACTAAATGCACTTTTTATTAATGTTTAGATAAGATTGAGTTCCTCATAAGCAAGTTTTTTGAGTATTTCGTAAAAACTCGAAAAGACTTAGTTATAAGCCATTTCTCTTACCATAAAATCTTTATGTGTCTGTGGGAAAGATTTCATGTTAAGAGAAAATTATGATAAATTTAAAACATTTTATAATATAAGTTTGCTTGTTTGAAGCAATTCTAAAGCTGAATTTCATGAAACGACGCACCTGATTGTTGTAACTGAAACTTTCGAATGTTAGTAAGCATGTCTGTTCGTCCATTGGAAAGGAAGTAAAATCCATTTGACATGGACCTTTTACCTGTACTCTGAAATGCCTAGACTGTAATAATTATAAAAAAAAATTGTTCTTCTTCAGGAATTCATTTTTAGCAACAAAATGTCTAACATTATCGGACAAATTGAATTTATCTTATTTCATTGTATTGATATTTTTTCCTCAATTCATTTTTGCTTTTTACATATAAAAAATAGTGCTTACACAGGAAGGAAAATAATTTTCGAATACCTGTAATTAGCCCACACAGTGCCATTTGAATAAATCATGAGGAAAAGATTCGTAAAAGGTGATTTGTGTATGTTTGCTGATTTGCTATTAATGAACACCGTATTAGGCTTCCAAATTTGATCTAAAATCTGAAAGTTTTCTTCTACAGTATGAATTTGTCAGAAAATTTGCGATAATATTGTTTTAAAAAAACTGTGAATGATTCATAAATTATAAGGATAGAAATTTTATCCAAAATATACGGACAGGAGCAACGTATTGGGTCATCCTGGATTAATTTCTAAAACAAATAAAAAGAATGTAATTTATTGTAGAAGATACGTCATGAATATTGATAAATGAGTGATTTGAATGAATATTAATCATATTATCAAATTTCAATTGTACTTTACTTGAATGCATCGCCGGTCCTTCCTCTGTCTTGTAAACGACTTGTGAAATTAGTATTCATTTTGTTTTTATTAGTACATTTGATAAGTTGATAGAATTACTTCGTTGCTAAGTGATAAATTATATTTGCATGGATTCATATCATCGTATCTGAGTGCTTTATCAACCCACAACTCAGTTACATAGATATCCATGTCAAAATCGGACGTTATTTCGTTTACTGAATTTACTTCCTGCACCCATATCTGAATATAAGTATAATTGATCTGACATTGTCTATAAGAAAATTATGACAACATTAAAAGGATGATTGAACTTGAATAATTGTTGAAAATTTTGAAATTTAATTCATGCAAGTTGCAAAGACATTTAAAGATAACTTTCAAATTTTAATCATTTAAATTAAGCCAAACCTCAATCCAAACAGTGACACCTTCTTCTGATGGAGTTTTATACGCTTTATACTTTTTCAACAAAATTTCAATTATTTTTTTATCCGATGTACAAACATGATCAATTTCATTGTATTGCAGGTCAATGACTGGTGATTCTACACTTTGCATGAGTGATTCCACTGAAAGAAACTTTGCTGAATTAAAATTTTATAAATCAGTTCTAGAACATAAACTTTTGAAATCAATAAAAAACCAAAATTATTGTCACTGTTTTTTAATAGACAACAATAATTTTTAATGTCTGAATGCTAATTACGTTATGTTTCGATAATAATTTTACATCTAACTAAAGAGATTGCATAAGAAAGCTTTGTAAGTAATTCTAACAAATCTTCACTCAAATTATCAAAAATAAGCACATCAAGCAATTAAGCTTGAAATTATTTTATCTGCTGAAGCTGAACTATTTTGGAATGAACCAAGTAATCACTCGAATTATTCTGTGTCAAATGGCAGTGCTAATTAATGACCCTTTCATTAAAGATAAGAAAGAGTTTTAGCATAATTAGTTCGAACAACAAACAAACAATTGATTTACTCACCCATCACACTATCATCTATTTCGAATAATTCTGGCGCATTTTCACTTTTTGGGATGGATTGTTCTAGCTGAAAAAATGGATGGAATATTGTTAAATATTGATTTATTGCAATCCGACTTTTTTAAGCACACATATGCATACTACAGTGTTAATCATTTATTAAAATTTCACTCCAAATTAAAATTTCTCCGCGCTCCTCCAATAATTGACAACGATTTAAGCAGCGGATTGATTGCTCAAACGGGATTATCTACGGGTCAGTGAAATAAGTACTGCACTGTGTGAAATCGAATGACTCTTGCAATGGTTACAATTAATGTTTGCAACAAAAAGCTAAGCTAAGTGATCTTGCTATCAAAATAAAGACAATTTTCGAATTGCTGATAGCGTTTTACTTTACTACGGTATGTTAGTTATGTGGTGTTCCGCATGATACTTCGATAACCTTTCGAAAATTATTTCTGAGTTCTGTTGTTCAATGATAAATTGGAATTAATTCTTTGCATAAGTTACGAAATGTGCATTGAATAACTGTGATTTGCTTACCTCAACATCTTCTAATCCATTCTGAAGACCAACCATATCTCCTTTGCGTTGTTTCTGATTGAAATTTAAATTTTGAAAGGATGTTAACTGCGAATACATAAGTAATAGTAGAATGCTATGAATAGATAGGATATACATGATAAGCTGACTGCATTGAATCTGTTGATAAGTATACGATAATGTATGACATAGCCAAGCGTTTGGCTTGAATAAAC